GATTTTTGTTAAAAAAAATTTCACCCTCTCTGAACCGTGAAGGAGGTATCAGGTTTAACCTGTCTCCTATTTACAATAACTTGTTGACCACCAAGGGACATAGACAGGCTGATCAGGCTAACTGAAAGTAGCTATTCAGCCCAAGCTCAAACAATAGGCCTAATCAAGACCCAACGATAGGGAATTTAGAAATCAATGGTCACCATAGGGGCGTGACTAACCATCCCCACCCAGTCCTCAAATAGGCCACGCTCAGCTTTTTAGCGCAGAGCAATTTCCCGGAGTCTTCACAGAGACTTCAGAGTTGTCTACTGCTGATGACTCTGGCTGGAGAGAAGCGAAACGTCCTTTTTTGTTTTTTGTTTTTTGTTTTTTACCCACAGGTACAGATGACGACTGACGGAACCCTTTCTACGATGTGTTTATAGTCACACAAAGTCCCACTTGAAATTATAAAGCGGTGTTGTATTGTATTGTATGTTTGGAATATAGTCTTAACTCTGGATGAATTCCAGCGTGCCAGCTACATTTTGCTCATATTGGAGATTCAAGTGATAGTATGAGGACAGAGGCACAGCCGGTCCTGAAAAGATGTTTCTTCACACAGCACCGTATTCAGCTGAGGGCTCTTTTGGAGAAATGATAATGTGTGTGACTTCCTGTAAGACACTTGCGGTAAGAAATTTGCTTTTTGTTACAGGGGCTCAAGGGCCACAATGGGCCTGGAAATACAACATCCATTCTGGAAACTTAACATATTTTCCAAAAATTCCCAATAGCCTTCCCGCCCCTGCTCTCTGCTAACCATGTATAGTGATCCCTCACTTATGGGGACCGGGACGCGGCCCCCATAAGTGAAAAGCCGCGAAGGAAGTTTTGCTCCCCCACCCTAGGAATTTTTGTATGTGGGTGTATGTGTATTTGGGAACCAGCATGCTTAAAATATGCAAACAGTGATTATACTTTACATATTTGAGACAGCGACTACAGCAGTACACATATTTACTTCAATCGATCCATCCATCCATTTTCCGATCCGCTTAATTCCTCACAAGGGTCGCGGGGCGTGCTGAAGCCTATCCCAGCTGTCTTCGGGCAGTAGGCAGGGGACACCTTGAACCGGATGCCAGCCAATCGCAGGGCACACAGAGACGAACAACTGTCCGCGCTCACACTCACACAAGGGACAATTTAGACTCGTGTTCAATCAGCCTGCCATGCATGTTCTTGGAATGTCGGAGGAAACCGGAGTGCCCAGAGAAAACTCACGCAGGCCCGGGGAGAACATGCAAACTCCACACAGGGAGGCCGGAACCAGAATCGAACCTTGCACCTGTGCACTGTGAGATCGACGTGCTAACCACTGGACTACCGGGCCACCCTCTACTTAAATCTTTAATTATAAAACCTAATGCAGTAATTAACATTCAACAGCATTGCCTTCTGATATCGGCGAAAAGACTTGTGTTGGCGGCGTAGAAGGCGGCTCTCACTTTTACGCTCTGACGATGTAGTTGCCATTAGCCTCCAGCTAGCTCCTGGCCAGCTATCCCCGCGCAGCCGATGTGTTTATGATAAGACAATTAATCGGTATTGATGAGGAGGAGGCGAAGAGAAACGTGCTGCTGCTTTCTGACAAGCACAATCACCCCCCCTGCCGCGCACATGGCAAACACAACAGAAGAGAGAGTATGCCAGAGACAGGCAGGTGAATGATCAGAGAGACAACAGCGTGATGAGACAAAGGGGAAGGTGCTGGGCAGGGCTGCGAATATGCGCAGCCAATTATCTCACTGGATAAATCCACTCGTCCTGTCATTGGTCGACTTTGTGCCAGGACCCAATCATGCGTACAGGCATGTACAAAACCTCCAAGTCATTCAGCATTTTTTTCTGAATACAGTACTTTGGAAAAAAATGTGATGTACTGAAGCTGTGATAAATGAAGTGTGATATACATGTTTGTTGTAACATGTATAAGGCTGGGAAGCTCTGGGAGCGTGGAACTCTGGTATTTCAGGGTCATGAACTCTAACTTGCAACTCTCACTTGAACACACCGTCATGGTGTGCACGAGTTTTACCACGCTGTAAATTGAGGTGTTTGCTCAACGTGAAAAATAGAAGGAATTATTTTCTGTCGGTGTTTGTAACTTCTCTCTCTTTCGCTAGATAGGTCTAGTGGCATGCCCTCAGCGATAACTGCATTGAAAAATATGTGGAAATACGTAGCTCCACCTTTTTTATTTTAACACTGGCATGACCCAGAGGTTTTGGTGCTCCCTAATGTTGCCAATGGTGTCCCTTTTTGGGATGTTAGTCCAAACACCTTTGCCTGTCTGTTTGCCCTTGCACTCTGTCCCACAGGGGGACAGTCTTGGGGGTGATCCCAGGATGTGATCCCAGGATGTCCCCTAAACTGGTCATGCCAGTAAGCAGGGGCTACAGGGGGCTGCCTTGTGAGGAGTAAATTGCCCCTGGGGTTAAGTTCACTTATAGATGTGCAAAGTGGCTATCACAAAATAAAACTAGCCACATTGACATTGTGTTAATGCTCTAAATCAGCAAAGGATGTGTGAATTACGCAAATGAAAGGGGTTGTTAACATTTACATATTCTTGCTAGCTAGCGTAACATGAATGGTTGGCTATTTTACAAATATGTCCACCGGACCATAAAAAGAAAGACACTAAATTAATTTCCACAAGACATTGTTTGGTCCAAAAAAATGTGACTTAACTAACAGGCAAGTTATATCTTCGTGGTAGACTTGGAGTTGAAGTTATCCAATGGTGGCTGACCGGAGAAGTCTGACTTCAGGGTGACGAATAACAATGGCGGCCACAAGAATATTCTTGCCTCTCTCTTTTTCCTACTTCCCATGATGCAACACTGTTTACAGTAAAGTGTGAAAGTGCTGTCATTTATTTTCTGTTCCCATTACATTTTACAGTTATAAACTGATTAACAAAATACAGTCTTGTAATAGGTCAAAATTTTAACAGCAACAACAAGACTCACAGCATGGACTAAATGTGTTTTGTAAGACCTCCATGCTCAATTCAGTTTCAATATAATTCATATTATAAAAATGAATTATAGCACTGTGTTCAAAAATAAAGTCAAAGTCTTAATATCCGCATTCAGTTCAGAAAGAAAATGCTGACCAATGAACTGCTGCATTGACAAAACACCAGCATGCCGTGTCTCCAAAAATAGGACTTCTTCCATTGCAAAGATAAACATCTCCACTTTCACCTAACTTGCATGCTTGTTAGATGAAACACATGGCCAAAAGAACTCAGCTCTTGAAAGCAACCCGTGAACTTTTCTGAGGTCTTCAAAGGTTTACTCATATTTCTCAAGTGTTACATAAACAATTATATTTTGGATACTTGTTTTTTAATATTTATTAGCAATATACAAAAGTCATTTTTAGTGTATAGTTACACTTGTCAGTAGACTGGTGAAATAAACTATAAAATACACTTTCAGTTTATGACACATTATTTTTACTCCTGTTGATATTCGGTCATACCAATACAGTACGTAGTCGCTTTGGACCTTTGGATGTTATCATAAAAATGCTTTTGGGGCAACTTTTTTGGCCCTCAAATTCCACCCAGCAATTCTACATAGCAAACACTGTAGATGTAAATTATGGCCAGGGCTCATTTAATTTGAGTAAATTGGGTGGCATGGTTTGTAATTTTAAATGGATTTAAAAAATGGTGACACAAATCTAGATTTTAATCACTTCAGACAAAGACAAATATATATTCTTATGAGGCTATGTGTTTAAGTGTACCTGTAGTTGTTGGATGAAAAAGAATAAATTAGTTTATCAAGAAAAAGTGCATTCAAACACATTTTGGTTACACCGGTTGCATTAAAGCAAACTTATAATAATGTAACTCGCGGCAATTTGTCCGAGACACCAATGGCAGCTAACGCTGTCTTGGTTCTGTCTGTTTCTTCTCCAGCACCACACCTGTTCGTCATCATTACTCATTTGTTTAAAAGCACCGCCAAGCCGGCACCTGTTGTCTGATAAATTCAGCCTTGCTCATGACTCGTACCAAGTGCTTGATTTTTCTAGACTTCTCCACGTTCTCACTCATGGTCTCTTTTTGGTAATTCCTTGCTTTGCTTGTTTTTGCTTCTTTCATTATTCATCGCGTTCATTTCTGTGTTTTTCTGAAATTGGCTCTTCCTTGTCCTTTTGAGACAAGAGATTTAGCGTTATTGTTACCTTGCCTTTTGCAAGCGCTTTTTGTTTGATTCATTATTATCCTGGTTCTTTGCTACCAGCATTATACGTTGTACTGTGTCGGTCTTGTGTTTTCTTCTTGAATAAAACTATATTTTGTATTCAATATTATCTCCGTTTGCATTTGTGGGATCCGATTCTATTCCATATTCTTCTGGAACCATAACAAATGCGCACAGACATATTTGCTCTGTCTGCAGGAAGTACAATTACGAATCCATTCGATTGGATTCGGGATTTGTTGTTTAAATGGATTTGAGGTACAAGTCCAGCTCTTAAGATATATGACGACAACGATCCGGCATATCACTCATTAGCTACTGGTGGTTGGAAGGAAAATCCCAGTCAATGACATGACATCACATCCGTTCCTAAAATGGTGCCTTGCATTAATATTAACCGCACTGTTTTGACAAAAAGGAGACTCGACGCAAAGATGGGAATGGCAGATATTTATTCGACTTTCCAGTATTGTTTTGTTTCTCCATCAATACCTTGAAATGGGCCTTTGGAGGTACCCTTTCATATGTGTTGAAATCCCTGTTCTGCCTATTCATGGTACAAGTTCAAACTTCAAACAAGTCACAACATCAGGAAAGTCCAGCTACGGTCCTCGAGCGCCGGTGTCTTGCGTGTTTTATAAGTCTCCCTACTCCAACAGACCTGATTCAAATGATCATCTCATCAGCAAGCCCTGGAGAAGCCTGATAACGACCCTGATCATTTGAATACAGTGTTTTGCAGCATGCTGGAAAGGGGACCCTCGAGGGGACCCTCGAGGACCCGGTTTGGACACCCCGGCACTACGTCCTTTGGAGGGGTGAGCTTTTTCAGTCAAGACTCAAAAAATCGTGCGGTGCATGTACGTATCATAAATGTATAGCTGGGATCATCGAGAAATCATGCTTTACTGTCTTGAAGATATGAATGTTTGATTTATAAATGTGATGAGAGAATAGTCAAGGAGGGACGTAGGTTGTTCCTGAAAATCATGTTTTGCTCAATGTTGCATCGACAAATATTGTGAAAGCTATGAAGTGAAAAATCAGTTGTATGGCGTCAGCAGCACATTTCTTGAAGAATGTTTCATTTTGGGGTCAGCTGTCAGTGCAGGGTTATGACATGTTTGGGTGGAGCTACTGGATGTGAGAAAATACATTCTCTTGCTCTTTTCTGCGCATGTGCTATATGACCAGGTGGTTGCCCGTTTGCTCGGGGGGCTTCAATTCCACTTTTTATGTGTTCTCGGCAAACACTTCCTCACGCTAGGTTTCAGGCAAGTTTTTACATTGCTAGGTGAAGCAAAATGCCAGTGACACCAATCCTCGGCTCAGACGTCATCTGCGAATAAGCGGCGTGTCAGTCTGGCTGCGCTCCTGCTGCCTGCAGACAGCCTCTGTCAGTGTCAGAGCAGGAAATGCCACCTCGCTGCTGACAGCTGCCTGTGCTGCATTCTCACCGACATCCAGGGGGAGAACCTGGCAACTCCCCACATCCACTCCATGAGCTGCCATGCAAAGTTCACATCCTCAAACTTCCTTCGCACAGCCGTGCGGCTCACATTCTGCCCTGACAGCACTCCGCTGTATACCTAAATAGAGCACGAGGCAGGCCTGTCCCTGGAAAACTTTTACATTCTGCTCCATTCAGGGAGGATTTGTCACTTGGGAAGAAGGATAATGAAGCTGTGTTTCTTCTCTGGTTGCTCTAGGCAGTCTTTCCAGCAGACATGGGGATGGCTGGATTGGATTAAATGAGCTCTCCTCCTTGTGTGTCAAGGTGAGGACAGATGAGTATTGTGGAGAAACTGAGTTTTACGCTGTGAGAATATTAAATGAGATGATCAAGCCACAGGAAAAAGAATTAGAGCACCCATTCTTTGGTGGAAATCAGGTGCTATCCCATTGCCATTAATTTTATTGACTGATTTGGGAAGGAAGAGGTCTCGGATCAAATGTTGATTTCCACAACATCAACAATTGCATTCAATTAATCCATCCATCCATTTTCTGATCTGCTTTATCCTCACAAGGATCGCGGGGCGTGCTATAGCCAATCCAAGCTGTCTTTGGGCAGTAGGCGAGGGACACCCTGAACCGGTTGCCAGCCGATTGCAGGGCACACATAGACGAACAACCACCCGCGCTCACACTCACACCTAGAGACAATTTAGAGTGTTCAGTCAGCCTGTCATGCATGTTTTTGGAATGTGGGAGGAAACCCACGCAGGCATGGGGAGAACATGCAAACTCCACACAGGAAGGCCGGAGCGAGGATTGAACCCGTGACCTCTGCACTGTGAGGACGACGTACTAAACTATCGACCACCGGGCCGCCTGAATTCAATTCAACACACCCACAGTATTTACTATACAATCTACATTATGCAGCGGAAGGTCAAATGCATAAGTGGTGCGCATTTGACCAAAATTTGTGACACTCATCAAATGAGACACACCCAGCAAGACCTCAGCACGAAATCAAGTGAGTAATTCTGACAGTTTGTTGTGAGACGACATGACACGAGAACAGAAGAAACGGAAAATACATCGACTCTTAGGTAAAATAAGAAGAATCACAGCTTCATGTTTCACAGTGGTTGATCCTGTACCTTTTACACTGACAGGATGTTAAAAATGATGCAATAGGACCATCTGGCAAGCAAATCACCTTTTATGTATTAAAGTTCAGACCTGAATATTTTATGTCGTCAATGTGAAGTTATTTTTGATGATAAATGACTGTTGTATGTCACAAATGTCATTCCAGTTCATAAAGGTTTTATGGGGAAAATATTTCAATTGTTTTTTTTTTTGTTGGTTTTTTTTTTTGTTTGTTTTTTAATGAGAGAAGATTTGTTTTGAAATAAATTGACAGCAGCTGGCAGACAGGAATGAAAGGAAATCATGCATAGACTAATGTTTTGGTGTCCTTGGACCAAATCATTTAGCAGTTCATATTTACTCCCGCATGTTTGACCTATGAAGGGAATTGCACAACCAATAAGCAGACAGATGTTTGTGAACTATTGTTCCACGTTTGCTGGGAAGCTCACCACTGATGGTGCC